ATATATATATATATATGTATATAAATGTGTGTATATATATATATATATGTAAGTATCCTTTTGTGTGCTTTTATTATAACATTCAATATACCATTTCTTTTTTATGATCTTGACTTACATGTGCGTGCCAATGTCTTTAACTTCATGTTGTATAACCTCATTTATTGTGGCATTACCATCCAACTGATGTAGTGATTCATTCTCCTCCTCACCCAGAAGAGGCACTCTCTGATTGCTCATTTGAAGCACAGCCTGTAATATTAGTTTTTTTTTTTTTTATAACAGACACTGAAAAAAATATTACAAAGAAAAAAGTACATATGGTGTATATCATGGCTTGATAACTCATATATTTTGGTATCATAAATAACTTTTTGAAAAAGCTTGGGCCCCATACACACAATTGGCATTTCCCTCACAGGAAAAAATATGACTAGATTTTAATGGGATGTGGGAATGGGACAGATGACATCATAAGCAAGAAAATCACTGGCTGATCTTGGACAAACTGTTCTATCAGATCTAACAGTAAATCCCAGGCACCTAAACATGCCTACTGGAAAGCACATATATCTGCTTGTGCCTGTCTTGGACTGTGATTTGGTAAATATATCTGCCCACATGGACACTACCTTTCATGTGGCCTTATTCATACAACTATATACAGAAAGTTTACCTTAATTGAAACTTCTCGAATAACTTCATTCCCATCATTGTGAACACACAGACAGCAGGAAAAAGTTTCACCCAAGTATATATTTCTGAAATATAAAAAAGTCAAAAATACAATTTCCAGACAGAATAGAACTTTCCTTCAAGATCTTTACTAAGGAACCCAGTATGAACTCATTGACATACTCATTCTCTAAAACAAATATATCTACCAGCATAACAACTTAAACATAACAAACTCGAAAAGAAGCTTACCCAAAGCTCTGAGGCAGAAGAAGCATGTGTCCCACTCCTGTATTTGGAATGCCCTGAGGAATGGCAATGTCTGAGCGGATGTCTGCATTGAGGTAGTCCCCAGGTAAGTCTCGGGCATCAGATCCAATGGCTAATCCCGTGAACAGGGAAGGTCTAGTGAGACGCATTACTGAAAGATGATTATAAAAGGGACAATCTTTAGTCAAATTAATTCAAATGTCTGAGTTTCTAAGATAAAACTCAAATGCATAATAACTTTGGTTTTATTAGTAAAGCTAACTTCTATTATGCATTTTCATTTAAATATTCAAAGTGCATGATAATGAGACAAACAATCTTAAATTGAATCTTTCATAATTATGTAAATCTAATGTACAATAATCATCATTTTATAAAGAATGGTCTTCTGTGCATTATATATGAATGACTGTTAGGTTTGTTCTCTGAAATTTCATATGCTTGATTTTACACACAAAAAAGGTATATTTCACTGTCATATGAAATTGCACATGAATGAAAAAAAGGTAAATAAAGTGCATATAAATCAGTAAACACATATCTATCCTCTAAAACAATAAAATATCCATTTACATGAATGAATGGTAAAAAGGCAATAAGAAACATATATATGTAAAACTACATTTTGCTAAAGGAGAACTGAGGTTGAAACAATGTATTATGCTATAAAGTAGTTATATATCAAGTCACACTCTGCATTCCATCCACAATAAAAAAGACAAAGGCAACAGACAAAGGCAACACGACTGAACTAATACATCTAGGAGAGTAGTGCCTAGAAGGAGAATAAAATATAGCGATGGTAAGATGGGTGTGACTTGAGTAACTATGCCAGACAGAACCAGATCTATTAGGTAATAGGACATCCCATTCACAGGTAGAATAATGCAAGGAATACAGTCCTCCAATTTCTGAAAGTATTTGCAAGATGATGCAATGGGTAAATGGTATTCTAAGTAAAATAAGTATGCAAGTCATGATTATAGTTAGAATGACTTGGGTAGTGAAGTGGTTTATACTTAAGAATAGGTAAAGCTATATGTGAAAACATGGCTCAAAAATGAAAAAATATATATATTTGCCAACTTTGTGGAAGTCTAATACATTTTTTCATTCACTCTTTTCATTACATGCAAAATTTTCCTTGTAATAAATGGCTGAGGGAAACTAAATCTATTCCATTCTACCTATAAATTAGATTGGAATATGGTCAGCTGTTACTATTTACTAAAACTAAACGGGCTAATATCCCTATCATCCTCATCTATAACAGACACTGCTTGGTCTCGCTTTACCTATCGTAAAACGCAACTTAGATTTATTCCTCGTAATCCATAACGGTAGAAGTTCATCTCGTTAATACACCCGGTGAATCTATACTCTGGCCTTCATTTCCCACAATAGACACCCACTTATCCACTTTCAACCTACCCTTTAAGCTCAGGATATGATCTTTATCCTTACTGTCCATGGTGAAGAGGATAAAAATCACAAATAAGAGTAAATGGTCGCTATAACAACACAGCCGTCCTCCGTCAGCTGTTTTGTGTTGACATTTGGGAAGGAAGATTCGAGGGGGAAAACGAACATATAATTTTCTCACTGTCAATGTAAATCACTCTTATCATTATTAATCACTTTTATAATTATTATTCTGTATCGTTATTGCTAGTCACTTTTATAATTATTATTCTGTATCTTTATTGCTAATCACTTTTATTATTATTATTATGTATCGTTATTGCTAATCACTTTTGTCATTATTATTATGTATCGTTATTGCTAGTCACTTTTATAATTATTATTCTGTATCTTTATTGCTAATCACTTCTGTCATTATTATTCTGTATCTTTATTGCTAATCATTATTATTCAATATCATTATTGCTTTTGTCTTTATCATTAGATCTGGATTTCGGGTTGATAAAATCATCAGTATTATTAATAGTGGTATTATTATTTCTTCTATTAGTTATTATTATTATTATTATTATTATTATTATTATTATTGTTGTTGTTATTATTTTTAAATTATTATCATTGTTATTGTTATTATTATCATTATTATTACTATCATTAGTATTATCATTATTATCATTACCATTATTACCATTATTATTATCACTATTATCATCATTATTGTTATTATTGTTATCATTATTATTATTGTTATTATCATTATTGTTATAATTATTATCAATATTATTTTTATCATTATCATTATTATTATTATTACTATTATTATTATCATTACTATCATTATTATTATCATTATTACAATTATCATTATCATTATTATCATTATTACCATTATCATTATCACTATTATCATCATTATTGTTATTATTATCATTATTATTTTTGTTATTATCATTATTGTTATGATTATTATCATTATTATTATTATTATCATTATCATTACTATTACTATTATCATTATCATTACTATTATTATTATTATTATTATTATTATTATTATTATTATTATTATCATTATTATTATTATCAATTTAAACTATTATTATTAGCACTGTTATCATTATCATTATTGTTATTATCATTGTTATTATTATTAGTATTATTACCATTATCATTACTATTAATATAATTACTATTATTATTGTTATTATCACCATTATTATCAATATAACTATTGTTATCATTGTTAATATTATCATCATTAGCATTATTATTATTCTAATATTATCACTATTATAATTATATAATCAATAATTATATAATCATATTGTATCATTATTACCATTATCATTATCACTATTATCATCATTATTGTTATTATTATCATTATTATTTTTGTTATTATCATTATTGTTATGATTATTATCATTATTATTATTATTATCATTATCATTACTATTACTATTATTATCATTATTATTATTATTATTATTATTATTATTATTATCATTATTATTATTATTATCATTTTATAACTATTATTATTGGCACTGTTATCATTATCATTATTGTTATTATCATTGTTGTTATTAGTATTATTATTGCCATTATCATTGCTATTGATATAATTAATATTATTATTGTTATTATTATTATTATCAAAATTATTATCATTGTTACTATTGTTTTCATTGTTAATATTATCATCATTATTCTAATATTATCACTATTATAATTATATAATCAATAATTATATAATCATATTGTTATTTTAACATTGTCATTATTGTCACTATAATAATTATCCTTTCTCTTCCTATTTATGTCATTATCATTATTACCGTCGTTATTTTCGTTATCTACATTATTGTTATCATTATTATCGTTGTTACCATTATCATTATCATTTTTGTCATTATTATCATTATTTCATTTTTTATCATTATCACTTTTATCATTATACTAATTATTTTTATAATTTTTACTATTATCATTATTCTTGTTGTTTTGCTATTATTATCATTATCATTATCATTATCAATATCATTACCATTGTTATTATTATACCGCATACATTATTATCATTATACCGCAAACATGGATCGACTGAACGGGTCCCCCTAAAGGAGCCCAAAGTATGAATCTTGGTCTTGGTCCAGGAGGCCTCTAGGCCCAAGGGCTTCGCATTATTGCTAAATGCACCACCAGTGATTCCAGAGACTCAGATAGGATAGCAACATCGTCGGCTAAGTCAAGGTCTGAGACCTTGATATTGCCCAGTGTTGCTCCAAACTGACTTTGGATAGTAACTCTGCCCATTATCCAGTCCATGCAAGTGTTGAAAAGTGTTTGTGTAAGGACACAGCCTTACCTAACAGACCCTCACCACTTTACAGCACTTTCAGGACCGGTATATAGGCTTGCTATTTGGCCAGTAATCCGTGTCGGAATTCCCATAGCGATTCTCGATGCACCGAATCAAACTCCTTGTGGTCGATGTAGGCTGCAAGCAACTCGCGACCGAACTCGCATCGGCGTTCCACAATTACTCAAAGCGCTAGGATATGACCTATTGTGGACTCGCCAGGAGTGAATCCAGACTGATCCGGTCTCTGGTGCCTTAGTTGGTGGTTGTGGATCCTTTTCAGAAGAGTGAGTAATAACCGTGCCCTGGTATACGGAGCAGTGTAATGCCACGGTAGTTGCTATAGTCCCAACGATCCCCTTTCCCCTTCCAGACCATGCCCCTCAACAAGTCAGGGGGAATGGAAACAAGACTCCCAGATGGCAGTTAAGACTGCATGTAAGCCCCATGCCATAGGTCCATCCCCAGCCTTTAGCAGTTCAACAGGGATATCACATACCTGCAGCTTTTCCACTCTTCAGCTTAGAAGTCGCCATCCAAACCTAACCTTAGGGTAGGAGGTTCCTCGCTGATGGGTGGGTCCAGTGCAGGTATTGTGATACCACTTGCATCCAAACTAACTGTTGGAGGATATTCCTGGTGCAGCTGCTCAAAATATTCAGCCCAACATTCCAGCATGATCTGAGATAATCTGTCCATCCACTGAGTGGACTGAAGTCGTCTGCAAGGAATGGCCTTTAACCTCCTCAGCAAGATTCCTGATGAACTATTCCTTGTCCCTTCTCTGCAGTGTCCGAACCCCATGCACCAAGGAATGGCGCAAGTCCTGATTGCCATTCAGCCAAGCCATGTGACATGCTTCAGTGGCCTCTAATATCTCCTGGGAAACGAAATTCTGCCTTGCCCTCAGGCGTATGTCAATGGGCTCATGCGCTCCTTCGAGTGTTTCGCGCTTGAAGGACTTCCACAGAGCAACTGGGTCCGTCAGGTTTTGAAGTTCTGTGAATCGATCAGAGAATGCCGTGGCGAACACTCGGACACTCTCCTCCTCCCTTAGTCTGTCAAAGTGAAACACCCTAGGGTAGTCACTACCTGCCCATGGTCAGTCCTACAGAATTCGGCACTCCGGTAAACCCTGCAATTCTGCACGATCCCCCAGTGAGTGCTGACAAGAATGTGATCGATCTCCTTGGCCACAGTACCTATATCGGTATACTATGTCCAGGGATGCGGGTTGGAGCGCTATACCAGGAGCCAGAAATCCTAGCAAAGTCCTGGAGAAGGAGACTGTTCTCGCTGCTGGGATTAGCTCCCGAGCCATGGGAGCCGACAGACATCTCGTAGCCAGCTCGATCACAGCCGGATACCACACTGAACAGGGCCGGATCCAGGATTGTTAGAAAGGGGGGGCGTAACCCCTAGCCGAGACGATTGCGAGTGCCGAAGGCACGAAGCCTAAGCGGGATAGAAAGTTTCTATCAATTATCCCTTCTGTTGCAGACTGGGACTTTCCCTGCCTATACCCCACGTCTTTCCCTGATGATGTGTAAAAAATTCCTGGTCTAAAAAAATCAATACTCAGCCAAAAATAGGGGGGGTACGCCCCCCCTGGATCCGGCCTTGCTGAAATCACCCAGAACAATGCGAATGTCTCGCCGGGGACAGTTGTCTGCCTCGGATGTGTGCTTGGCGTAGAACGCTTCATTTCGAGTTTGCAAATATTGGTAGGAGCGTACACAGCAATAAGAGACACGAAGCCAAAAGCATGATTCAGTCTCAGTGCCATAATACGCTCATCAACCGGTGTTACCTCTACCTCTACCTCTCTCTCTCTCTCTCTCTCTCTCTCTCTCTCTCTCTCATATATATATATATATATATATATATATATATATATTTATATATGTGTGTGTGTGTGTGTGTGTCTGTGTGTGTAAACATATACATATACATGTATATAAATGTGTGTGTATATATATATATAAATATATACAGGGCCGTCGCGACGGGGGGGGGGGGTGACACCCCCCTGAAAAAAGCATCTGTCGGCAAATGAAACCTTAAACCTGCATTTTTTCGGCAAATTGGTAAATTTTGACAATTTCTGCTGCTAATTAGTCGGCGCTCTCTACGAATGGTTCACAGAACATATATATATATATATATATATATATATATATATATATATATATATATATATATATATATATACATGTAATATATATATATATATATATATATATATATATATATATATATATATATATATATTTATTCATTTATTTATTTGTATAATATAACATAATATAATATAGCATGATACAACATAATTATATAATGGTTAATGGTCAAAACACATAAATGTGCTATACATCAAAGGTCATATAGCACTATGATAAAATGTTGTGGCAAAAAGAAGAAAGTTGAGTTAACAAATATGATAAGTGGACAGAAGGGGATGAAGAAGAGAAGGAAAAGGAAAGGGAAAGACGAGGGCTGAGGTGATCCCAGTACATTAACAATACATTTATATATATATATATATATATATATATATATATATATATATATATATATATATATATATATACGTGTGTGTGTGTGTGTAATATATATATATATATATATATATATATATATATATATATATATATATATATATATATATACATATACAAATGATATATATTTTTTAAGTTTCCGAATTTTTAAGTGTGTTTTTTTCATATTCCAGATACCTTAGAGGATGCGATTGAATAAAGAGCAACGAC